TATATATATTTTTTTTTTTTATAGGTATAATTGGATTCCAATTCGATTTTATATGATAGAAATATTTGAACAACAGTTATCTAATTGAAATACTTTTGAATTGCAACGCAAATTATTAGACAAACTTAAATGAAATAATATAGAAAACAAGAGAAGAAGAACACTTACATAGAAATAGTTTTTGGTTTTATATTTCTTTAATGGGTTTTATATATTATTTTTGTATAACTTCATTTAGCTACTCGACGCGTTTTAGCTTAGATCTACAATTGTTCAACACTTAACAAAAATTACTTGCTTTTTCTCGTTCTTAGCAATGCAACTGCAACTGCAAGTGCAACTGCAACTATGGTTAAATAGTCTTATGAGTATACATCGAGTGTTTTCTGTTTCAAAAAAACAATTTATTGCTGCAAACTAAGCGCGTTTTGCGTTTAAATAAGGCAATCGTTTAATATATATTTCGTTTTTGTTTTTAGTTTTTTTTTTTTTTGCTATTTCTGCTGAATTCGGCTTATGCATTTTTAGGAACATTCTGCCATCATTTGCTAAGTATTCGTTTATAAATATATTGAATATATATATGCTATATATATTTTGATGTATATGTATATGTTTAGCTACATACAATTTTGATGGCCACGCGTGGGCGTGACGAGCTCACTAAATTAGAAAAGCTTAGACTCTGTAATGCCTATAATAACTAATTTCATAAATAAGGCTGACTCTTGCAAAAACGTGGCCAGATCATTTCTGGCCATGGCCAACGATCTGAGTACTGCAACATTAATTTCATTTTCATTATTATTCTTTAGCCGCTTTGAATTTTGGAGGGATTCTCATTTTACGCCGCTGTGGGCAATTTTTTAAATTAAATTTTCATTTTTCAATATATTCATATTTCGATGGCCCGAAAGGGTATAAAAGCTTCGATTTTTTCAAGTCCTTATATATGTTTGCTCATCACTTTTGACTATTGTGCTCAACAAATATTTGGGAAGTTCGGATTCACTAAATATGTGTGTAGTGTAAGCCTAGTTTATAGCTACTTAGTATATAGACTAAATTAAAATTGTGCATACGCGGATTGTTTTGAACATTTGTTGTAACGCGTTTGGCGTGTTGTTAGCAGTTGGAATGGGAACAGGTGCTGTTGGTCCCACACTCCCTTCTGATAGCCACATACACACACAGAGCCGCTGCGACCCCGTGGAAGCACATAGTAAATGTTTTGCTTTTTGGGGCTCTTGAAAGTTTTGCTTAGATTGTAAGTATGTCGAGTCAAAGGAAAAATTGTGTGGCTCAAACAAAATACATGAACAAGCTGCAAAGTAAGTCAAATGGAAAGGCACATCAGCAAATTTGAGCAGATGCTACATCGAATGAGAAGTGTTCAACACCTTGAGTTTTCTTATATATTTTTGGTTTTCGTAAGACATTTAAATAATATTTTCAAGTGCTGATGGCATTTAGTTAAACGGTTAAAATAAACGCATTACGGCAATTAGCAAAACTTTCAATACAGCTTACAGTTGACAGAGAACATTGCGCAAACGCAACGCAGCATCTGGGCCAACGTTGCGTATGCGCAATTTGAGAGATATTTAGTTTTCAAGCAGCGGCGTATGTGTGTATGAGTTGAAATGTATATTTTTGTATTCAGTGTGTGTGTGTGTGTGTGTATATATGAGTATTCATGACGCCTAGAAGCAGTTACATATAATCACAACATTTAATTTCAATAGCCTCGCCTTAACGGAAGTACATCAAGTAATTCATATTGGTTGGGGCTTTCTTCGCCTTAAAGCAGCAAATGGAAAACTGGAAGCCAATCTCTATAATCTAGCACTAACTATGAACAGTGAACTGGATACTGGATACTGGATACTGGATATTGGTTACTCATAATTGGTTTTGGTATTTGGGTTGCTTTTCTTTTTAACTGGAGTAGCTTGTAGGAAGTACTTGGTTGCCTGCATACACATTTACAATAACAATTCGTTTACAGTTGTTGCTTTTACCTAAGGCTATGTTGTATATGTGTGTGTGTGTGTGTGAGTGTATTTCTGTTTTTTTTTTTTTTTTTTTTCAATTTGCTTTGTGTTTTTAGTTGGTAGATAACAAGTTGCATTGTCTAATTTACATTTACAATAAAATGTTAGCATTTACGATACTCTTCAACTAGTATTAGCTAGGTTTAGTGTATTTGGGGCTTGGAGCTCTTGGATCTGGTCTGCTCAGCTCAGCGCTTCTCTGCTCTGGTATTATTGGGTATCGGTTGTTGTTGCTGTGGTTGCACGCTTCGGCAACTGCGCGACTGTCTAGCGACTGTCCTCGTTGTCACTCGAGCTGTTTTGCTGCTGGGCGTCGCGCTCCTCCAGCAGGCTGCGGTTCAGCTCCTGGATGCGAGCAGAGAGTGCGCGACGACGAGGTGTGCCGAATGATGGCAACGGGGGCGGCTCAATCAGGGTGTTTTTCTCGCCTGTAGGCGTGGTTCGAGTCCCGATTCAGGTAAGAAAGTTGGTTTAATGGTTAGAAACGGGTTTGTTTTAGTAGCGACCAAAGTGCGTGTGTGTGGATGTGTGTGTGTGTGGGTGTGAGTGTGTGTATGAATGTGGCAATATATTTGTGTTTTTTGGTTGGTGACATCGAACGCGTTGGGATTTGTTTTAATTTTTATAGTTTTTGTAAATTTGTTCAAGTTAACATTGTGTGAAAAAGTAGAAAAAGAAGAGCAGAGAAAAGAACGAGTTGAAGGTATAAATTGAAGCTTAGTTGGTTCTTCAGATTCAGTTTTACGGATAGACTTATTTTGGATTTTGAAATTGTGTGTGTGTTGTTTTTGTTCTTTTTGGTTGATGGATACACAAATTGTTTGTTGTTGTAGTTAACTTTGTTTTCAATATTGTTAAATAACTCTATCCGAAGGTTTGACTTGCTTTAGCTAAGAACTACGATCGTCTAAGAGGATGAGTACATAATATGCATGTATATATGATTTATGTAATCAGCACTTGAAAATTTTCTAAAATGTACTTAAAAATTTGTAATTCAAATTTATTTTTTTTTTTTTTTTTTTTTTTTTTTTTTTTTTTTTTTGTATATACTGTAATAAAATTCGAAATTTACAACTCTATATCGAACATTCAAATTTGCTATGTATATTGTGATAATAATAGTTTATGTAACTATGAAAATCAAGCTTAGCTTTGTAATGATTTCAATCGTTTGGGCGAACAAACGAACTTATAAACAATTTGGTTTCAGCGGCACAAAACGAATTGATAATCAAAGCAAATTTTACGTTCAATGCAAACTTAAATTAACAATGCAACCAATTGTTGAGCATATGCAATAATATATCTTTAAGGGGGTTTTGGTAAATAACATACATTTGATATCTCTGAAAATATTGTTTGAGTAGTATTCGGATTGAGTTTCAGATTCAGATTCCCAACTAAAGGATTCTCTAAAAAATATTATTCAAAATCGATGTCCAATAGTAAGCCCGAGTATATTTACAATCTAAGTGAATGTCTGAAGATTACCTTGAGTATTTTTGATTATAGATAAATACCTGTGCATTGCGGTTGTATATACAAGGATTGTTAGTATAGATATACAGAATTGATATATGTATAAGAGTGATTCTAAAAGAGAAGTTATTTATTGGATTATAATTGCTAAAGCTTGTGTTCTTTTTTAACTGAATTGGCAATTGGCATTGGCTAAGTCTTACGTAAGCGCTAGAGGTAAGTTTCAAGGACTACAACTTGTAAGTAGTTGAGTTGGATTATGTTGGGTGATTAATTGCTGGATTGATTGCTTGCTATACGCTACGTATACGCAATGTTAGTCACCTGGAGCGCTTTGTACGTCAAGGGTTTGCCTGCCTATATTGGGGGTGCTTTGTCTTTTACCTTTCGGATGCACAACATTTGTTTGCTTGCCTAAAATTAGATACGAGGGCGGAGTTGGACGTAAATATTAGGCGTATCCACAATAAAGAAATAGTAAATTGCCAACTTACAGGCGTGTGTGTATGTGTGTGTGTGAGTGTTCGTGAGAGTGTGTTTTTCTCTGTGTGTGGGGTAAGTGCGCTTTGGAGCTTTATACAAGTAAAATCCCCACTAATTTCTTGTCTAAGCGCGCTAAGTACAAAAGCATTTGTCTAATTGACCATTGTGGCAATGCAACTGTGTGTGTGTGTGTGTATGTTTTGGGGCTTAGTTGTGTTGTCTTTAAAGCCGACGGCATTCAGCGTCCGCTTGGGCTTAACGCGGCTGCATTGTTGAGCAGGTGTCAATTAAAGGCAAAGGCCTAAGGGCTACAGAAACTTAAAAGTAATTCAATTTGCTTAACAAGTTAACAATTGTTTTCAAATACCATAAAGCTTACTTAGATTAACAATGAGTTTATTGAATTGCCCGAAAATTTCTATCATCTTACGGCAGACTATATTAACAATTTATTAAATCGACTATTTACACGCCTTCGTTTGACAGTTGAAAATTAAATTGAAATCGAAATAAATATGAGAAGCTGACAAAAAACATGCAACTGGAATGGAAGCATCTAAAAAAATAAAAATAATAAATAATGAATTCATACATACACAAATAATAAAGGTAAATGGCGAGAAGACTGAGTTAAGATAGAGCAGAGAACTTAAAAGCGGAAAGAGCAAAGCGAAGCATACATCTACAAAGATACAAGTTGTAGATTAAGCAGGCAAATGTTTACAGAGAGAAAGATACATAGAGAGAGAGCGAGAGAGAGAGAGAGAACGAGAGAGACAGGCAGATAGACCGAGAGCTATCTGCTCGACTTACCTGTGTCGACAATCACATCGATGAGATCCATTGATTTGGCGAACGCATCTTTCAGATTGATATGATGGAAGGAGACAATGCTGCCCTCGCGCTTGGCACGGTCGAGTGCCTCGCGACGCTTGAGGGCCTTCTCGCGCCGCATCTGATTCTTATAAAATTCAGCAAAATTGTTAACGATGATGGGAATAGGCAAAGCGATTACCAGAACACCGCATATGCAACACACAGTACCAATAACCTTTCCCAGTGCAGTTGTGGGATAGATGTCCCCGTAGCCAACAGTTGTCATTGTAATACCCGCCCACCAAAATGTTTCCGGTATTGAAACGAATTTTGTATCCTTTTCATCCTTTTCGGCAAAATATGCCAGCGAAGAAAATATGAGAACGCCCATGGCCAGGAACAGCATTAGTAGACCGAGTTCCTTATATGAGTTACGCAGCGTAAAGCCTAACGACTGCAGGCCCGTTGAGTGACGGGCCAGCTTAAGGATTCGCAGGATGCGCATGATGCGGAATACTTGCACCACCCGGCGCACATCCTGGAACTGGTCCGTTGCATTCTTATTCGTTTCCAATAAAAATAACGAAACAAAGTATGGGAGTATTGCCAATAGATCGATTATGTTAAGGCCGCCCTTAAAGAACTTCCACTTGTCCGGTGAGGCGCTAAACCTAAGTATGTACTCTAGGGTAAACCACGTGATACACACGGCCTCAACCATTGCCAATTGCGGATTATCCTGTGGTGTACCATTGTCAATGTGTTGTAGTTGTGGTAGGGTGTTCAACGTCAGGGCTATGGTAGACAGGACTATGAATAGTATGGATATCACTGCGATAACCTGTGAACGGTAAAGAACAATCGAAACTTTGTCGAGACGATCATCAACAACAACATCACAACGATTATAAAAAAAAATTTTTTTTTTAATTAATCAAACACACAGAGTTACAACAATTAGCGCTTGCTTAAAAAAAATTTTTCATATTTATTTCGGTTTTGTGGGACCGTATATTGTATATCGTATATAAAAAAAAAATTGGTTAAATTTTGTTGGGGATAGTTTTCGATGTTATAAATCAGTTTGAAGCAAACATTGGTTAGCTGAGCGCAAAACGTTTAGTTTTTCTGTATTCGGGAAGGGGAATTGGGAGTTCGATCTGAGAACCGTTTCAAAGATGTTGTTGATCGTTGTATAACTGACAGAAGCCTCATGCTAGATGCCTGACTGCCTATATCATTAGATGGGTACACGCATTGTTGGGTCTTAAAAAAAAACAACGTATTTCTCTTTGGCTGGTACTATTCAAAGGCTGCTGTACTATATGTGAAAAAAAACATTTGTAATCCTTCTTCCTTATCATACAAACTGAACAATAAACTAAAAATTAAAAAAAAAAACTAAATAAAATTAAGATATATATATATCGACATAGATATATACATATCGACATAAAAGTAAAATAACTCAAACTCAAACTCTTCAATTCAGGGGGTTAGTAATATTTGTTGTATGTATTTCGGGGACTAGTTATACACGTTGACTAACGTCTCTAAATGTGTCTTTCAAGTGGCTGTGATTGTGGGCGTGGCTGGTGGCTTTGGTTATCTGTGGGTGAGTGCAGGTCGTTTGATTGGATAGTGTCTTGGGTGTGAGCTAGTTTCTCTAGGTGTCTGTGACTCTGTGTGTGTCTGTGTGAGTGTGTATAGTTGTAGCTGTGTATTGTACGAAGGACATGACGTCGCACAAGAGTGTAGGACATTTACGCAATTACTAGCTACGCATGGAGACAGAGACCTTTGGCGCTTTCTGATTGGCACTACTTGGGGTTGACAAAGAGGGGCTGTTGGGGATTTTGCCAACGGTACAATAAATAAGAGACGCTACCATCGGGTCTGCAGTCGACATTTGTATAATCAATTTCTCATAATAATGTATGGACGAAACGCTTTGTTCTACATTGTGTTGCTGTTCGTTTCGCTGTCTGTGTTCTGATTGTTATTATTATTGTAATTATATTGTTTTGTTTTCTGTTTTTGGAATCGGAGTTGTAGATAACGACAAGTGTAAACTGAGCAAATCGGAAATTACGAATACACATATTATGTATAATGGAGCTATAGTAGGTCAAATGAAACGTACGTACTAGCACTTTACAAAAATATTGAATGCATAATAACTTTTCGAGCTAGAAATTACGAATACTTATACTAATTGTAAACGAATCGAAACAAATCAAATTATAAGTCAAGCCATCAAATAATTGCAGTTATCCAAGCCAAGAATACGTTTCTAATATACTTCTGGTCAAAAGTGAAATTTGCAATTATTTCGATGTCATCTATAAATGAATGCATGACAATAGGAAACTTATAAAGATTTTTTCTAAATAATTGATGCAATTTACTAAGAACTGCAAATTGTAAATTGTTTTTGTTTATCGGTTTTTGATTTTTGGTTTTAAAGGTCTAATGGGAGGTCGGGGTCTGCATATTGAAGTGGCCAAATGCCAAATTGTTTTGACAGTAACAAGTGCATTTTGAATACCAATGCCACCAAGAGCAGATCATGGGGATAGAGGGAGACAATGAGAATGAGAAAGAAAGAGTGGCGAGAGAGGAAGAGAGAGAAAGAGAGACAGAAAGAAAAAGATAGACAGAGCTAAGGTTAGAGGAATCCTAAAGTTGAATACGTGTATAAATGCACGTGTGTGCGTGAATGTGTGTATGTGTGTGCTTGTGTCGGTATATGCACTGACAGTTGACTTGACAACAAAAGGCAGCCGAGGGTAAAGGCGTTAGTGCACCGGACACAACATTAAACATTGGAAAACCTTTTAAAGCGATTGGGAAAATTGCTTTTATGGTTTATTTAAGATGTGGCCTGTCTCTTGTCTCAAAACGACAAACAAGGCTGCATGAGTGCGAAAATATATGTATAAATATATACAAATATATACTTATATATATCGCGTTTACACTCATGTATATATATGTGATTGTGTGTGTATGGGCATATGTGTGTGTGAGTCGTCATGTGTATGTGTGGCACAAATTAGTTTGTGTCCAGATCTACCATAGTAGGCCACTGTACGCAACCACGCATTTCTCTTTACTTCAGCCTCATGGCGGGTATTACAAGTAAATGAATATAATTTTGCATGGCTCGAGTCGGTTTCAGTTTCTTGTTCTGTTTTTATTAGATTTTTGGGGTAGGGGCTTCGTGGCTCTTGGCTGGGAATAAGGCTAGATATTTAAGATTGAGTTTGGTTTTGTTAAATGTAAATGATATGCTATAGTTAATAGTTAGAGATATAGATATATATCAATGTATTAAGAGATTCATACTTAGGGTACGAGTAGAGGGAAATCATTAGAGTAAAGTAACCAAACAAATTATGAAAACAAAATCAAAGTGTAAGAAAAGATATTCAGAAATACAGAGATAGAGAGATATCATAACAGAGAATGAAGTCAAAGTAAAATAGAGAACAAAAATCGTGCTTTCATTTAGCAACTTTCAAGCGTTCGATAGAGTTGAGTGGGAGAAATAGTACAAAGATACAAAATATACTTATTCTAAATCTAAGAGAGTCAAAGTTGGGCATAGAGAGAAGACAAAGAGAGAGAGAGAGAGAGTGAAAAAGAGAGAGATAGACGGGTACCTGTTATCATTGTTTTGGGTACTTATATACACTGTGGCCACAATCGATTGCAATTTAAGTGTGGATCGATCGACTATCAAACTTCGGGAAAGTTAATCAAATTTGAAATAAGGCTTTTACTTAGGCGGGGCGGGGGTCATGTGGGTCATGAGCGCGGGAAGTACTGGGTACAACTTTCTACTTGATATGATTTGGAATGCATGATTTATACTTTGAGCTCAATTCACGTTTTATATCTTCTGTTTAATTATATTTTTTGTCGATTGAATAGAATGCATTGGAGATGTTGAAAACAATAAGCTGATTGTACGTGTTCGGGTTGTGCGAATTTTGGAACTGCTACCACTGCTGCTCAGTCATGATTGAGGGGGTTTCTTTTGAGGGAGTTGAAAGTAAAAATGATATTGCGTTACGCATACTAAAGTTGAGCGCAGCTTGGAGACGCATTACGGCTAATTTGCTATACACTGGACTAAGTATGTGGTGAGAGGTTAATGAAGATTGGATTTTCACTAAACAAAAAGCAAACAACTAGAAGCACAGCCCATGCTCAAAAGGTGAGCATTGAATAGATTCACAAAAGCTTTGCCTTACTTTAAGGAAAATCAAAAACAGTCTACAATCCATTGAAAGCAAATACAAATGGTTTGAATGAAAAGCGATTTAAAAAAAAAAAAAAAAAAAATTAAGCACATTTATATATTATGATACAGGCGTAAATTTGAATTAACTTCCCTGTAGTCTTTGGTTAATCCACTTGAATTACAAAACAGGGCGAGTTTATGATACAAAAAGAAGAAAATACAACACAAAGGTAAACTGGGAAAATGTGGCAACAAAAAACCAGGTAGTCGGAGATAAAATGATAAACTAATCGATAAATGTATCGAAAATTGAATAAAGACATGCGGCAAGAAGTTGGGGACAAAGAAATAATATATACATACATAAATATCGTAAGAATATATGCAAGACATTTCATATATGAAATATATACCACTATTTGCTATACAAGAAAATTTATATACACATATAAAAGTTATTCAACTTGGGATGATCAAATGAAAACACATTCAATTTGTGGGTTCTTATTGAAAAGTGCGCATACGCCACGTTGGCATAAACTTGAAATTGTTTGTGTGTATGTTGAAAGTTGGTGTGTGTGTGTTGTCGTGTGTGTCTTTGTGTTTGTGTGCAGGTGCAAGATTGTGAATCGTAATACAAAAATGAGCAAGGGCCAAAGTAACGCATCGTCTTGCACTACAAAACTAGCTGACTAAATATTTGACCAGGATGTTGCGATTGGTTCCATCGGGTTTGCGGTTGGGTGTGTTTCTTGTCAGCTATTTTGTGGTTGATTATTCGGGTTTTTCGTTTTGTTTTGTTTTGGAGGTTTTGTATTTCAATACTGGTATTCTAGTATTTGTTGTGGGTTTCGAGGGGTGCACGAGTTGGTTCGCATACTTTGTTCGACTCACTAAAAAACAAACAAAATTCGATACAAACTGGCTATAGAATTCAGTATGGCCGACTACGTCATTCTATACTAGGCATTCAAATGCAGCAAATTTGGTGGGTTAATATTTCAAGTTTGGGTTATCTATGCAATACACATATATACGTTTTTCATCTATAATCTAAAAAACCAAAAAGGAATGAAAAGTGAAAACTACTCTCATAGTTCTGACTGAATGACATAGCATCGGGTTTTATATCTATTTGCATATCTATTTATACTTCAATTTTATTTAGGTTCTCGTTAATTGTATTCGTGTGTGTGTAAATGTGTGTGTCTGTTTGTGTGTGTTTCAAGTTTTTGAGTTGATTCGATTGGAGGTACTTAGTAGTAGTAGTTTACGAAGCCAATAGACCAATGGGTTACAACAGTCAATATCAAAGATAAGATACGTTAAAACACAACAAAGAGTTAAGAAAATTTTCTGTATGCAATAGATAACAAGACATCAAATACGAGTATCGAATACGAGCACGATTATATATACGACAGATGGGCTAGTATATATATATCGTGCCGCCAAAAGGAACACAAAAGGTAAATCAAAAGGAAATACACAATATCAAAACATCGAGTTCAATTTGGTACAAATTAAATATATATAATACATATATATGTGTGTGTGTAAGATTGTTGTATATTGGTATTTGTTGGTAATTCATTTAGTATTAATGCCAAATGTTGGTCGTGTGAGCGCGTTTTCGTTGCCAACAGTTTGGTAAATCGTTCACCAATGGGTTAAACTGGACTAAACTCTTTCAACGTAGGTAACAACTGAGAGTAGCTTGGAGTATTTCGAAATACTACTCTTTACTCTTTACTGTATACTTTTTACTTTTTACTGTCTTTTGTTTTGGTTCTCATATTTATCTTGTTCGTATAAAAAAGGATGTGTTTAGGCGAGGTATTAGAAAAGAACTAAAAACATACAGAAATAAAAACGTTGTTTATTTTTCTCTTCTGACTTCGTTAGTAGTTGAAGAAAAAACAAAATAAAAATTTTAAGAGAACAACTGGCAAAGAGCTCTGGAAATTTTTCATTACCTTTGTAAAATGACAAACCAAAAATTGTGTTAATTGTTATTTTCGCCTAATTCTTTGCAACGAAATTGTATTGGCTAATAATGTTAAACTTCGCTTGCATATTTTCAGAGGGCCAATAAATTGTAATAAATTGAAATTGAAATTTAAAATATGCAATAATAAAACGATTTTATATTCACCAGCTCTTCTTTTGTATTTTCAAAAGCTTTTCAAATTGGGGAAAATAATAAATATTCTTGTTATGCGTAGCCAATACAAAATGCTTATTGCACCTGCAAATTTGTTCAGTTAGTTTTAACGAAAAAATACATAATATAAATGAAAAGGAAATTAAAATCGAATGAAAAATTATTGGAGATGCGCCCAAATATGTTGTAATTATTTCCATTTTCGGCCATTGCCTTAAGCTAAAGCTAACAGAACTTGAGATATTGGCAAATAATCGGCTGTTATTTACAAGCTGAAGCCAAACTGTGTGAGTGCTGAGATATATTTATAGATGGGTGTGGGTGGGTTATGATCAGGGTCAGTTATGGTACAAGAGCGGGCGGGGCGGGGCGTGGCGTCTGAGAGCACAGCCGATGCGAAGCGTCATCGAGGGACGCTTGAAGAGTTGCTGAGCTGAGCTGCCAGGCCAAAGCTACACATTAATAGTCGGGCCTTTGATCTAACCTCTATGGAAAATGGAAATGTATTACAACACGACTTTAGCCGCTTCTCCCCAGAGGTCTTTCTCTTTACAATATTTTCGAGGATTTCTACAGCACACCTGCCGCCTGGTCATATCGCTTATTGCCCATTCCCAAACATTGTTACAAGGGTTGTTTTTTGTTTAGGAGTAAGATTGGAGATAAATAGAGAGAGATTACTTCACCATCATCATCAACAATTAAGAGATTAAATTATGTAATATATAGAGAGAGTATAAAGTTTGTATAAATTTATAAATATATGTAGTTGTTCATATATACTGTGTGTGATAAAAAACGGTTAGATTAGAAAACGATTAGTAAATAAATTTGGTTGACTTTTCCATTGATTGCACTTGATGTGCGGTTGCTAATAATTAAAATGATGTAGATGAGGTTGATCGATTCTAGCGACAGACGGGGTGTCGGTGTCACGGCGTCGCATGGTTAGTGACAGATAGATACTTAAGTCGGATTACGAAACAAAACAATAATCAAACCAAATCTGTGTTTACTATAAGAACACTATAGGTGGGGGCAATCAAAGGTTAAGTGTAACGCAAAATGATATTACGAATATAACGCAAGGAGCGGCACTCCCCTCGATGTCAGATGCCAAACTTTTAGAGATATGTAAGTTAGTTGGAAGGAACCTAAACTGAGTGAAAGTCCTGTGCGAGCAGGCCCTGCAGGTCCTTTGTACTTTGTCTGCTGCCCTTGAATGTGACGCTGTATTTGGGCACAACACAAAAGCAATCGAATACACTGAGCGAACTTATGAGCTGAGTTACTTGACATAAGAAGGCGTATATATTGATTGATAAACATAAATGTATGTATATATATATTGTTGCATATATATACATAGCTGTGTGTATATTAAGGTATATATTGTATATACAGTCACAGTCACAACACTGAAATAGGGCCAAAGCTTGGCTTTCATCTCGCACAGCAGGTTGCCAGACTTATTTACACGGCGGCAGCAGGAGGAGGAGGAGCAGCAAAGCGGCTAGCTTAGCTTGAAGTTAAACAGCAAATTAAGCAATACAGCTATATATATATGTATAGATAAATCGATAGGCATGCCTATCGAAGAATTGAAATCTGACATGTTCGAATATTTGTATGAAATATATGAGGGCTATAAACTTGTTTCAGTTAGTTTAGTGCAAGCTTCTTTTAACGCAAGGCAAACGCAAACGGCGTAACTTTTCAGCATATTTATATACATAACTGTATAAATATATGTATATATTAGAGTGGTTGTGAATAGATTCATACATATATTGAGGCGTTATATGGTACAGCGGGGGCTCATCTTATTTTTACACTATTTTCGATGCGCTTGGCAGTGAATTTTGTATTTACAGAGTGCTGTAAATGCCGCACTAAATGCAATTGAATAGTGTAAAAATAATATTCGGATTCATACGGAACTAAAAAGTCGCACAGACAAAACGAAAATCGAATGGAACACAAACCAAATTCCACATAACTCAAGATCAGAATTACAGAAAAGAGGAAAGTATAAATAGATATATGTTGATTGATTTCTTATTTATTAATGCTTTTTTTTCGCTTACGCTGGACAGTTGACATTGACACATACGGATAACGGATAATGAATACGGTTACGTTTATATATATAGCATATAGAGTATATGATGTTAGGTAAGTAAACACAGTACGGATAGGGTAGATGATTCAGCTGGTAACTGATTGGACTTACCCGAGCCGCGAAGCTGGTGTTGGGCTTTTCAAGCAGCTCCCAGAGATACTTTTGGTACTCCGCGCATTTACCTTCGCCGAACTCCTCCTCGTCCCGCTGCCGGAGCGACTCGGCCTCCTTGCGCATCTCCTCGTGCACGTTCTCCTTGCGCTGATGGTACTTGTGCTGGCAACACGACTCCAGATACAGTTCGTCCACGCCCCAGTACTCCAGATCATCACTAAACGCAAGCACGCACATCTCATCCACAATGTGCAGTTTCCCGGTGCGATAGAAATTCAAAATGGAGCTGAAGCTCTTCGGATGACGATCGAAGAAGTACTCGTTGTCGACCAGCGAGTAATCATCGCACAGCTCTATGATGGCCTCGTGGGTGGTGCACTCCCTTAGCCTGCCCAGCCGCGTGTGGGGCAGGCGCTCCAATGTGCGCCACAGCACCTCGTGCTTGACTCCGCCCACATTGATGGAGACGCGGCTGTTCATCTGCTTCGACTGCGCTATCATGAACGGCTCCGGTGGCGGTATGGAGGACATGGATCTGGAATGTGTCCGCTGCAGGGCGCCGGTTGTATTGCTATGGCTGATGCCGGCATGCGAGCCGCCACCTGGCGGTAGCATAACAACGCCGACGCCGACGCCAACACCGCCCAGGCCGCCCACACCGCCGCCGAGGCTGCTGCTAGCGGGGCCACCAATGCTGCCACCAGCAATGCCGCTGCCGGCTCCACTACCACCACCTCCGCCGCCGCCTGCCCCACCACCAAGTGCCATTTGCTGCTGGTGCTGCTGCTGCTGCGCAAGAGTCTGCTGGGAAGTTGTGGGATTTGAATGCGTTGGTGATGTAACTGGGAATGGAGCGTAACGAACTTCCTTGCCAATGGCCCCGGTGCTGCTACCGACAGCCCCCCCGGCGCCTGCGACCGGCCCCGCTGCAACGTTCCCGCCTCCACCAGCAGCTCCCAGGCCGAGAGCAGCAGCTGCTGCGTGCGCTGCTGCTGGTGCGGCGGATGGGCCAGCAATGCCGATGCCATCAGCATAATCCAAGTGCCGATTGTTGGCGACAACAGCGCCGCCGGCAACAGTTGGCCCACTGTTATAAGCACCGCCGCCAGCTGCTGTGACAGCTCCACCGACGCAACCATATGAACTAGCTCCACCGGTTCCCATCGCTCTCTCCCAATCGACATTACCGCTTGTATCGTAATAGGGCTGATTATCGCCGCCGTCGGCTGTTCCCGCAAGCTGCAGTCCACGCGCAGCTGCCTCGTGTTGCTGATAAAACAGTTCCGGATGTTGTTGTTGCTGCTGCTGTTGTTGTTGTTGCTGTTTCTGTTGAAGTTTCTGTTGCTTTGACTGTTGTTGTTGACTTTGTTGTTGCTGTTGCTGTTGCTGTTGTTGGCTAGCAGCCTGTCCACCATGCAATTGCCCGACCATTTGTAACACTCCATTATTGTTTTGAAGCGGTGTTGTTTCACCCGTTGCCCAGCGTACCGCCTCACGGTCTCTGTCGCGTTCGCCGACCATAAGTCTGCTGCAGATGGCAAATGCCACAAATTACCGTTAGCAGATGTATGTATGCAATTGACCCCGCTCCTGCTACTTACCGCTACATCGCGTCAATTGTTGTCATTACAGCCACCTCTGTCGTTCCGGCGTCGTTTCTCTTTTCCCTAGTCCGTTGGCTATATGGGTTTTCCTACGGCTGCTGCTGTTGCTGATGCTGCTGCTGCTGCTGCTTGTGCGCAATTGATTTCAATTTACTGTTATCTGATATATCTGGAGATCTATAAATTCAGCAATTGGGCAGCAGTTACGGTCTCTAGCTGGCTGGGACTCTGGCTCTGGCTCTGGCACACTGTTCGCTTGGCATCCGACAGCTTCTGGCTGGGTCTCTGTCTCACTTCCTGGCAGCTGTCCTTCATGTCTTTGTGTGTGTGGCGTTGTTGTGTTTGTTTATGCCGGTTGCTGGTCGTTGTTCTTGTTGTTCTTGTTGTTGTTTCTCTAGGTGTTATTGTTGCGTGTTTAGGCTATGATCACAGTTTATTTCTAGGTTTTGGGCTAAATTGGGCTTTGATTCGAACTTCGACTGACTCAGGCGAAGATTGGCAGCATTTTGTGGGGCTCTAATAAGCAGTGTGTTGTTGTTTAACGGGATATAGCTGCAAGAGAGATAAAGTGTGGTTAGCAAATAAATTATAATACAGTTATGAGCTGGCTGGAAAGCTGATCAAATATCTAATGTCGAATATGCCCGAGCCACAGCAATGCCACGCCCATACATTTATTCAACAATATTTATTGACAGCTGATAAGATAAGCTATGATAAGAACTATTGTATCTCTAGTTTAGACTGCCCGACTAGGAGATACCCTCAACTCTTCGAAAAGCTGATATACGAAATCGCTGGACCGACGGATAGAGCAATAGACGGAGTTGGCTATTTTAGCTCAGCTTCTCGCACTGATAAAGATTATTTATACTTTTTGAGTTCTGTCGCACCTCGTTCTGCCTCTTACATACAATTTGCCAATATGACCAGAAATCCCATTTTCTATGGGTGCATGGTATTTATGAAGCAACGGGTTTTATAAAGCATACTTATTGGGGCTGCAGCTCCGCTGGCTAGCATTGTAACACAATTACGGACAGCTAGGAATTTATTTAATACGATAACAGCTATGACAACAATCTATGAAATGATACGGGTCTGTAATTGTCAGTGCAAATGCTGCGTAGCTCTTTGGGTGTATGGGGATATATCATATATACGATCCAATGGACATGGAAACTTATACATGTGTTTGCGTAAGACAATTCGATTTGATAAATAAAGGCAAAACCATTTTAATTCTATTTCAGCGATTTGGTCGCCCATTTATTACAGTTAATTTGCAAGAGCCGAAGGCTGCGCACAAATTCTGCATTTAAATGCCGCCAAGCAGTCGTGAATGCTACCCGCCTTTGATGGATCAACATTCGCCATGGCGCATACCACGCACACACGCACACACTCACACATATACAACAAATATATATAACTGCAGGAAATACGTGATGGTTGAAAAATATGCGCTGCCCATTTCGGCCTGGGCAAATGCGAATGTTTCAAATTGCGTTTGTGCTTGGCCTTTGCCTAAATCGCAATTTCTGCCGCATTGCAATCAAATTTGAATTTTTATGTCAACCGGAAATGCATTGTAATAAGCGCAGGGCTGCGTTTTTGCAAATTATGCACCCTACCTATTGGCCATAAAATGTTAATTAAACTGCACACAGTCCTAGATAAAAGCCATGCCGCAATAGCCTTGGCTGCCTTTCCTTTATTAATGGAATAGCTATTTATATTTGGACAATGTGTGGGCTGCAGTTGTTGTTTATTAAGTTTGCAAGGAAACACTTATATTAATTAGACTATTTTTGATATTTTTTGAAATGTGTAAGCATTTTGTACAAGAACTCTAAGTACTGGATTATATAATTTTGTTATATTTATATAATATGTGTGTATATAAATATGAAAACGTTCAACATTTCCATAGTCATTTTCAAGGATCCTAAATATTTTTTGGTAAAATCAAATAATTTGATTTATTTCTTTTCTGATTCTCTTAGTCTTATTTATTTCTTGCTGACTTTAAATATATGTTTGCATACAATAAATAAACGTACAGCTTAAATAAATCGTCTCAATATTCATTGATGTAGAGTATTACAGATAAGAAATGCAATTCAAGGAGAATTAGTTCGACACATAATAATTATTGATAGATAGCTAAATCAAATAGTCCACATTTGACGCATCCAAGATTGTTTAAATTACTAATCTTATATTTATTTGCTTAAATTACTAATCTTATATACCAAACACGAGAATCTATTTCCAGCCACTGGAAGAGTACATTTTCCAAGTTTGGGTGTTGTCTAGACTCAGGTTACATTTTTGTTAGCCACTGCACTGTCGCTGCAACTACGGGATGACTTGGTCTCAGATAACACGCAGATTATTGAGCATTATTAATGATATTACGATTAATCATATGATAAACAATAATCGATTATTTTACTACCACTGGCGGTTTAATTGTGGCGCAAAGTGAGTTGCAATTAGTTATTATTGTTATAAAATATGCATCTGTTGCCGACTGACATATACTATAGTAGCATATGGACATATACTATAGTAGCCTGGACTTGGATTCGATTTCAATCACTGCTTCGCATAAGTTTGCCTATGTCTGTAAATCTCTTTTTAATTCCAGCAACTCATTTCCGTTTCCGTTTATATTTGGCATTATGTGTAATTCCGGTGCTATAAAATTTTAGGGTATTTGATTGCTCCATATAAGAAATCGCATGTCCTGAGCGCTGAGTGTTTTATTCAGTGATGCCCAAAGCGCCCGTCACATTTCTGAGTATTTCACTTGGATCTGGCGTGCAAGGCTGAAATTATTGTTGTATACAACATACGAAGGACTGTATATATGGACATATGTTTATATGCTGGCTAGTATGGCAAATTATACGGTTTTGCTTGAATTTAGTCCGGTTAAATTACTATTTATTAGAGAGGGTCGCTTTTTACAAATGGCAATGGCAAAGCGAGCGCGATTTTTGACAACATTGTTGGCGTTTTTGTATTTAGATTGCTCTTCGAGTCGCGTGCTCTGCACTCAACTTTATGCAATTATTTGTGGCGCGAAATGAAAATAAGTTGCATGCAAAGCGTAAAGTACTCCATCGTTCTGCCATATGCAACACGTTTGCGTCTGTGTGTGTGTGTGTGTGTGCGTGCGTCAAGTGGGCAACAACACCTTGAAACCTGTTGAATTGCCTTGACGTCTGACACCAGACTAAAAGTTAAATTGCAATTAATTCCGTGCTGCAATAATGCGAGACGGGGCCTCGTTCGCTGCACGTTATGTAATTTCATTTGGCAGCCCGGTTCTTGTCGTAAAATGTGAGAGAATGGCGTCAGAATTTATGACAGCACACACACACACACACGGAGAGAAAGAGAGAGACTGAGAGAGCCATCAGACTGTACCCAATAAATCTTAGACATAATTTGCCTACACGTATGCACAGTTACAAAATGAATACTTAATTGGCCATAAATAGTTTGATAACGCCCCGAGGGAGCCTTCAGCTGTGCACTTGTGTGTGTGTGCGTGTGTGTGTAGAGTGTCTCAGGTTACGGTCAGGGTCATTTCTTGAACACATCCCTAATGGAGCCGTGCTGCGTAATATATAAGCAAGAGCAACAACATGGATAGCTATTAAAAATTAGCCTACTAGCCATTTAACGCTTAGCCAATGCTGGATGACATGGCTGAAAGTTGCTGCGAGCGGGCCGAGGTTGTGATTAATGATTTCTTTGACTTGGACACTAATTGAAAATGGAGAAGCACACTCATGCATGCCCATGCTGGCATCCATACGAACAGAGGTAATTAGCCAATAGATGAAATAGAAGAGTCTTTAACAACACGTCTTTAGAGATAAATATAGATGGAGTAGACGCATGATTTTGGCACATTAAGGGTAAGGCTCTAAATGCAAAACTCAAATAATGTTTGAGTTACAGTATGCGACCATAGCTCTCATATTGAAACGGTCGAGCTTATGGACATCATCATCCTTGTGCATGCAGTAAATTTATTAAAAATAAAATGTCGCATACAAATAAAAGTAAAAATATCGATTGAGATACATTTTCCAATCTATTGATCAGAAACTCTTATCTTATTTGATATGCATTTCAAAAATATATAATATTTGCTTTTAGTTAAAGAGTAAATTTCTTACACGGAAGCCTCTCTCGTATATTAGAGCTACTCTAATCTAATTTGAAGGACTCGCCTCCTTACAGTTCCATTTATAAGCTGGGAAAACGCATCAATTCAAGTGCACAGAATGGGAAATTGTAAATGGCTCAAGTGCCAAAATTCCACTTAGAGCTCGCATAACTGATGGGGCCCCGATTGCCTGCTGCAATAAAAACAATAGCAACAACAGCAACAGCAACAGCAACAGCAACAACAACAATAGCAACAGCAATTGCAACAAAAACAACAACAATAACAAATGCAAATGTGCTGCAGTTGGAATGGCATGGAAAAGCGTGTCAGCTTTGTTCGGCGAATGGAAAACATTTATTGCTGACTTTTAAGGGCCGCTATTGTCGACGTTGACGAAATTTATGGGCGCCATTTTGTTGTTATGCTGCTTGGTCCGTGCGGCAAACAAATATTTCGAGTCAAGTGCATTTATATATTAAAGTGTTGTTGTTGTTGCTGCTGCTATTGTCTTGGTGTTGGCTGCAAATGCGTCAGCACTAACCTCAACACTTAAGCCGGTGCTGTTGGTCATGTGCCTTGTTTGCCTTCAGCACACGCCCAACTCAACTAGCCCCTTACAGCACCGAGCCATTTCCGGTCTCAGTCCACATCCGCTGCCGACGCCGACGCCGACGCTGCCGTCGCCATTTTTACACTAGCTGGCGCTGACCCTTGGCTGCTCTAATTTAGTTAGCGGCCACGAGCGAAACTCAAACAAATTTAGAAAGTCACACACACACACGCACACACACACTCGTACGTACTTTGAACGTTTTTGCACACTTTCCATTTTCACAAAATGAAAAGAAAAGAAAATTGAAGCAAGCAACTCCAMTTTTAATTTGGCTTTTGTTTTGGTTTTTGCGTGCGAGCCCGACTTATTGGCCATTGGCATGCAAGCATCTTGACCAACTTGGGCCCAACTTGGCCTTGGCTAATGGGCGCACTTTCTAGACTCGTGTCGGTGTGGGCGTGACTGGGATCGTGAGTGTAAGTGTGTGCGTGTGTGTGTGAGGAATGTGGGCGTATTTATGGTGTCTGCTAAATGCCAGCTTTCTCTCGCTTGCTACGCTTTCGGTCTCTAGGTGTCTTGGGCTACGCAATTGTTGCACTCGACAACTGTATCATATTTGACAAGGCTCCTCTGCGTGTTCAGCCTTTTATTGAGTTACTCAGCGGCTTCAGCGGCTTTACGACTCCCCTGCCGCGTGTCCGCGCCATGGCGTCATCCCTCTGAACCACAATCGCTGCCATAGACGACGCTTAGCTGAGTGCATAGCAGAGGCGAGAACAAGACTAAAAGCCCCATTAATAAGCTACT